GTCGGGAATTATACGCAACATTTTAATTACACATGTCAAGAACACGTTTCTTCTACGTACGCATACGTTAGAAACGTTACTATTGCTGAAAGCATTTTTGCGGATAAATTAGTTAGTTTTTTAGTTTATTTTGAACGAATTTAATGTCCAATTGAAACATTCAATAATCAATCGAAAGAAATTATGCAATACCAAGTCCTTAAATCTATTACTTGTTTTGATTTAGAATGTTAAATACCAAAGTAACTCTATAAAACAGTTTCAACGCAAATTAATTTTCATGTTTATATCTGAACTTAGGAAGTTAATTTACGTTACCGTAGTCATTACTTTGCGGTTTATATTAATATAAACTTTAGGGACCAGTTTTATTGGCATCGAAATAACCAATTTTCATTTAACGATTCAACAGTAAAATTGATATTCACTACTACTCGTATATCGTATTATTTGATAAATTGCTTTTCATTTATAATGATTCTTAATGAACTATGATGGTTCTACTAACTTGAATAATTGTGTTTGAGTTTCAAGGTTATTGATGAAATTATTTATGGAATGAAATAATATAAACTAAAAAAAAATATTGTCTTATTGCTAATACAATAGTAGTAGACAGCAGAAACAATAACATCCGCGAATGCGGAAGATCGTCTGTTGAAATACCATAAGATACAGAAGACACGAATGAAGTGGAAGCAACTCCGCGTTATGTCTGAAGGTACATACGTGCCGGAGACCTAATTTTAGTCATCTTTACCTTTCCATCCTTTTTCTTAAAAGGAAGCGGTGGGAAGGGGTAACACCCTTTCTCTCTATGTCTCTGACTTTTTCTATTTAAAGTAATGATTTGTCAACTTATTGAAGATTTATATAGGACGCAGTAGCTTCGATTTTTAACGAAATATGATGGCCATTTGCCACCTTTTACTAAAAAAAAAGAATATCTATATGTATCGTCGTAAATATTATATGAATTATGTTGATGGTAAGCTATGAAACCTTTTTATTAAGTATATTACATTAATCATTTTTTTAATATTCAAGTTAGTAAGTTCCATCGATGGTAGGACGTGTCAGCGTGAATAGATCGTGGCAGTATCGAGGGTAACAAAGCTTGCCTGGCACATTGCCAGCCCTGACGCGACTCCAGATGCTCTAAAAAGAGTTCAAAGTGCCAAAGAACCACCCGATTTGAGATGCGGAAGGGACATTGTTTTTAGCATGATATTTACCTTCTTAAAGAAATGGTTTTTATTTATTAGGTAATTCAAACTTTGTAAAGATGTTTATTGAATCAATTCTTGATTAAGTCTTCTGCCTTGTAGCCTTCGAAAATAATAAAGTTATTTTCTGAAGATTAAGTAATATTCTTGTTTTCAATTTCCTTTACAGCTGTCTCGAAGCTGTATAATATAAACAATAATTTGAATGTTTAGTTTGAATATATAACGGATCAGTAAAAAGGTATCGGACAATTGGAATTCATTGGATGGATGTTCAGTATCTACCTCCGAAGACTTCCTGCACCACTACACTGAGATACGCTGTGTGAATTTATATTCAATTTATGGTTTCCTAAAATTATAAATCTTATCTTATCTATCTATATGTGTAAAAATCAATTGCTGTTCGTTAGTGTCGCTAAAACTTGAGAACGGCTGAACGGATTTATCTTATCTTTGTCTAGTAATGTTCGTGGTGTTCTAGGGAAAGTTTAAAAGTTGAAAAAAAACTGAATAATTACCGGGAACTATTTTACTTTTTTTATACCATGCGGACGGAGTCGCGGGCGACAGCTAGTTGAATATAAAAATTAATCTTTGTTATATTCTTCGCTGATAACGTTCCATATTACTTTTAAATGAATCTAAAGATGTTATAAAATGGCAGCTTGATTTTCTCATATTCAAACTCCAGGTCATAGACGTCATTGTGCTTACAGTATTTGCATCCATACGAGCTTTACTCGACGTCAGCCTAACTGAATATATTCGAATGATATTTTCCGTCCGTAGAAACTACATATTGTGTCCTGGGACATTTCAATGTTATAACAAAAATGGAAAACAAAGTACTAAGCATTTATAAACTTGGTGCCAATTTTACAATCGACAAATGTGATGGCATTGTGTATGCCGATTTAGTCGTTAAGTGATCAACAAACTCCAACAAATCATACCTTTCTAACATCAGAAACAGCCAAATTAGTAATAGATTAAAATAGTAGAAGCCATAGGAGAAGAAAATGTTTTATTTAAAATATATATTTTAATACGATATTCCATAAATGAAAATTTAATCGTTTACTTTAAGCTGAATTAATTTTGATATCTTAAAGCAATTATTCCAAAAAATCCAATTTATTCGTTTTATTATCAATTTAGATTGAAGCATAACCAAATTTGGATGTCGCCCAAATTGGACTCGTGTTTTGGATACAGACGTATTGAGTAGGTATTTGGCAAACCTTTGGCAAACAATCTTATAGATATTACACAAAAGAATTGTATATTTCATTTAAATCTGAGGATTATTAGATCTTACTTATATTATAAATGCAATTGCTTAGATGGATGAATGAACACATGGGCTACTAATTAAGATTTTTTTTAATTCCGCGCGGACAGACTCGCGGGCGACAGCTAGTAGCTAAATTATGACTTAAATTAGCTTCTACATTACAACCTAATTTAGTTGACGTATACAAGACGTTGGCAGTATGCAATGTGTAATGACATGCAAAGCGCCAATTAAATTTGCAAATGCATGCGAGAAAGGTAATTGTTGGCTTTGTATTCACAGAATAATTGTAACACTGTCGTAGTAGACCTTTGATAAAGTAAATTTATTAAAAGACGTGTTTTTGTGATTTTAAATATTCACTTAAGCTCAAACCAGTACGTAAAAGTTTTATGAATGAAGGCAGAATAGTTAATCTCATATTTGAATTTTCCAACAACTTTTATAAAAGATTCAAATCTTAAAGCTCCGTTAAAAAGAGCAACAATATGTAGATATATATATGTATAATATTTGTAGACATGCTTCAAATATTTGTCGATGTCTATTCATATTTGAATTGTAAAAGACTTAAAAGGATTGCACTGTCTAGACGTCCTTAAGTACCTAAATATCTGTTCCAAGTATCGTTCACAGGAGATATTATTTTAAATATTTCCATCTTAAATTTTTGAATCACGAAAGCTTTTCTTCATCTAATCTTGATTAAATATAGATATCAGCGTGAATCGCTCTCTCGCAAAATGACGGTTAGTCTCGGCCATTTCTTAAATTAGCTACGTGACTAACGGGCGGCTGGAAAATTATAAATTTATTCTGTAAATTATTGTTGTTATATTTTTAACTTTGCCTATAAGCTATAATAATCAGTCAATCAATAAACCCTTCATAAATGTAGACTTAAGTGTTTTTTAGACATTCCATATCAAGAATGTAACGAGCGATAAGTTTTTATTCGTACGGACGTTTGTTTAACGCCTCGTTACAACTCGGCGTTGGCGGCTCTCGAGCGACGAACGTTTTAAAAATAGGTGTTATTCCGTTAGCCCCGCGCTTAAAATGTAACGCTGCGGGATAAAAAGCGTCGCGTTTTAAAAGCGATACCCTAAGTAAAGATATATGAAAATGCATTTTGTCAGGCGATTAAAAGCGCCCGTGTGTATGAGGGCTAAGGGTAAAAATATTATTATTTTTAGCCAAGTATTTGTAGCAAAAAGTTTTATAAAAGCGCAGCATGAATACCACGACCACACAGAAGACAGGCGTGAAGTGGAAGCAATTCCGCATTTCGTCTGATGAGTGTGCGTCCCGGAGACCTAATTTAGTCCTCTTCCCTTCCCATCCTTTTTCTTATAAGGAAAGGATGGGAAGTGGAAGTGTACTTTCCGGATAAGAGGATGCATGGGAAGGGAAAATATTTTCTTTCTGTGCATCATCTCCTCCGTCGAGTAAAGGTAGGCAACGCATATGCAATTGCGTATGTCTATAGGCAACGGTTACTTCGCTATTTCAGTGATTCCAGGTGGCCGCTCGCTCGTTTGCCACCTTATGATATAAAAAAAGCAAAACTTTATTAACTATTTCTGTTTATCCTATTTAAGTTAAATCAAATGGATGTATGAACATATCCATGTACCCATATTATAATTATATGCTGCCCAATGCCTTTTCCCTTGCGGAATTATTTATAGAGTCAAGTGAATTTTCACCTTTCTTAAGAATCCGTTTGATCTTGCTATTAGAAAGCGTAAACTCAATTGAAGCGTCCATATGGATTTTATTAAGCTTGTAATAGAAATCGTATTATAATATCTTATCTATTTGAATAAAAATGCGAGCAATTTTATGAGATATATTGCGATTATCACTTAAAAAGTAATAAAATGTTGTACTGAGTAATATTTTTTATGAATTTTTACGTTCTCAGTGTAATAAAAAACTTTACATTATTAGAGGATTAGGAAAATATTATAAATACGAATGGTTAGAAGAATGGATGGATGTTTATTAGAATACATCTCCAGAACAACCGCATGGACCTCGCTGAAATTTGGCATAGATGTAGAACATATTGTGGAAGAACATATAGGCGACTAATTATTTTTTTTTAATTACGCGAGGAAGGTGTCACGGGCGACAACTTGTATAATATAAATATCTATAAAATATATAATCTGTTAAGCCCAGTTTCCATTCATATTTTATACACAAATTGAAAATGATTCAGCGTAGCTATTGGCCCGAGATCGGATTCGGGATGCTATTATGAAATTGAATTTCGTTAGGATACATTCATACGGGTTTTTTTGGTTTAAAGAAATAAGATTTTATAATGTTTATATATATAGCTAAACCAAAAAAAACACGTGAAAGACCGAATAAATAAGTATAGACAAGTAAAAAGATTATTTTTTGTAGTTTACTTTCATTCATGTTTAACTCCGTTTATACAGCGCTCTATAGATAAAGGCAATTACCTGACTATTAGGAAATGTGGCGAAGGCTGACTGCACTTTGTGAAGCGCATGGTCCTGCTGGTGCGGTGGCGGAGGGCGGCCCTTGGGGAAATGGAAGCGGGGTATCACCCGCGCCGGCGCTCCGCTGCCTGCTGCGCCCCGCACCGTGCGCTGAAGCGTCGTGTGTGGAGGTGCTGATGATGCCTTTGTGGGTGTTGACGCTGCATAACTCTGGAAACAAAGAATTACGACGTAAATTAGATATTAGACGTAAATAGGATAGATATTGGTCATTTCTAGGTGTAATATTATATTATAGTGGTAAATTACAATATCTACCCGTGGGTTTCTGAAATCTAAATCTCCGTTTATAACATATTGTTATCTCTGTCGTGTTAAAAATAATAATAGGAATGACGATATATTTTTGTCTCAGAAACCCGTGATACGTAATGGAATGTATATACAAATATCTTACAATAGATTTTAATATTAATTTTTGTTCATCTCACTTTACTATATGTAAGTACATAAGATAAGTTGCTAAAATAAAACGATATTTTGAGCAGAGTTTTATAATTTATACGACAAATGGCTGAAAACAAAAGAGGCATTGTTTCATTGTTTTATTTTCCTGTTTGCACAGGACTGAGTGACGGTTTTCATATACGAAGGGGGGAATGTTTTGTTGTCATATTTGTCATGGAAATAAAACGTGTATTAGATTTGTTATACTTAAATTAGATTTTGGAATTGTTTCTTGTTCAATTTCTTATTTGTACAAGATCATGAACGAATGAAGAACACGCTGCATAAAATTTTAATCTTGAGAAAATTTAAAACGTCTCCCTAAAGCGTTACCGCAATGCGATAAACCTTGAACCCAAAATTTATTATTGAGAAAGTATAGTATCTTATAAAAATAATTTTACTAGCTGTCGACCACGACTCAGTACACGCAAAATTTAAAAAAAACATAATTAGCAGCCTATCTGTTCTTCCAGCCTAAGTTCTATATGTATGGCAAATATCATCGCGATCTGTTCAGCCGTTCTAAAGATACCTTCAAACAAACATAAATCCGTCCATCTAAACATTGGCATTTATAATATTAAGTAAGATAAGATAGTAAGATGGTTTTGTATAGGTGTTTCGGTAGTGGAAACCAAGCTTAAAAGTGAGCAATATGATAAAAATTCAATTTATAAAAGTCAAGTTATTTCCTTCACAATTTGTTTGCAAAGATGTCAGTAGCGTATGCATGCAATCTCTTTACATTCAATCTTTTAAAACATCTTGATTTTGGCGCACGTTATTTTCGTTACCTCTCCTTGGCCTACAATTTAGTTGACGTCAGGCAGCATGGCGGATATTTTTGTATTATCCACGTGCTATATAATTTACCATCGAGTTCAGTGCGCTTTCTATGCTATTAAAGTAATCACTAACTGGTAACTAGGTGCGAAACTTGGCAACATAGTTTGCCTTGAACGCCAGAAATACATCGGTTTGTTAACGATTCGAGTTAAAAGGATGACCTAAAATGATAAATCGTTTTATGAATTTTGCATTGCATGTATCTTCGCTATATAAGATGGAACAGGAGCTTCTGATTAATAAATAAACATTAAACATTATGAAATATACAAGCTTATGCCCGCGACTCCGCTGGCGTTAAATTAAAATGCTTATGTGTTCATCTAGACTATGTTCTATGTTTCCGTCAAGCTTTATCGAGATTCGTTTTGCCGTTCTGGAGATCCTTTCCAACAAACATCCAGTCTTCCATATATTCATTTAAACTTTGGTATTTATAATATCAGTAAGATAAACTTTTGTCGAAAAAGGTTTTAGTCTGTCACCTTTTAAAATGGCGGGAAAATTTCGAAAGCGTCACAATATTTGGACAAAACAGCGCCTCGCAAAAACACCGAAACATGTAAAATTGCTGTGTTTTTTCATATTATTAGTTCAGTTTTTGTATTTAATGTTTATTATACATACAAACAAAATTTCATTTAGTTTATTTGCGTTTAGTTTGAATTATCGTAACCTCGCCTTTGTTATTGTCTAGACAGAATGTATTAAGATCACATTGGACCTTGAATATGTAAGAAATCACACACTGCCTTCGGTTAAGTCACGTAAACAAAAACGTTAATAAATTTTATGTCTGCCATTATCTGGCAAAAGGCCGAGGGCTGAGTAAATATTACATATCAATATCTTTTCGACACATAAAAACTTTTACGCTCCGTTTGTTTGCTTGCAATGCAATCAATGACTTTGATCAACGTATTATTAAATCATTATTCAATTATCGTGGAAAGATATTAAGACTAGTTGTCGCCTGCGACCGACCGCACAGAATTAAAATAATTAGTAGCCTACGTGTTCTTCCAGACTATGTTTTATATATATGCCAAATTTCAACGAGACCCGTTACGCCGTTCTGATACCTTCAAACAAACATCCATCCATCTAAACATTCGCACTTATACTATACTTATATTAGTAAGATGATTTGTTTCCTTGACTAATTGTATTAACTTGAAAACTAAAAGGCACTAAAAGAAATATCAGTATTAAAAATAATAAAACATTAGCATGGTATGAGTAAAAACATGGAAGAAGAAAACATATTTTGGCGACGTTACTTATGTAAATGTGACCTGAGAACAAGATACTGATGAAAAATTTATCTTACTAATACTAAAATGGGAACGTTTAGTTGTATGGATGATTGGATGTTTGTCAGAAGGTATCTCTAGAACGGCTGCATGGATCTTGCTGAAATTTCACAAAGATAGAACATATTCTGAAGGACCCTTGGGCTACTAAGACACGGGCGAGCGCTACTTTGAAGTAGAATTATGTCTAATTATAAAGATAAGCGAATTCCTTGTCCACGTCTCATATAAAATCTAGAATTAACTTAATTTAACATAGAGTATGTTAAATTGCACCTGGTGCAGCAAAACCGCAATGCAGTAGACATTTCAGTTATTTGACTGCAAACAATTTAATTGCAAAATTTTAGTATGGGCACATGCTTATGCCAATATCATGAAATATATGATTTTCTAATCATTGCTTTCTGAGTGCCGAAATTGACACTTAAAAATTGGAGTGTCTGTTATATCTAAAAGAAAAAATAATTCATTACTTTGATGTATTTGCGTTGCCGATAACAAAAAAACACAAACGAATAGATAACCTCCTTCTTTTTGAAGTCGATTAAAAAACAATTATACTTAGTGTTAACCAAATAGTTTTGACAGTTGTTATTAAAATTAATTCGCAAAAGTTTCGATTTGTTTTTAATTTTATGACAAACCAATTCGCATTATTACAATAAATGAACAGTATAACAGTTGGTATTATGACTTTATTACCGGTTTGATTAACTTCGTAAACGTTTTAGTTTGAAGCGAGTCCGTCGAAGTTTTACGTCAATAAATCCGCGCCACCGGTTATTTGAAGTTTCTTCAACATTTAAAGTGAATAACTACCGCACTCTCGAAAAGACTTGATTATAATAATACCTATCATATAAATGCGAATGTTTTGATGGATGTTTGTTTGAAGGTATCTCCGGAACAGATCAACGGATCTGTAATTTGGCATAGATGTTGAACACAGTTTGGAAGCACACATAGGCTACTGGTTTTGTCTTTTTTTAAACGCGCGCGGAAGGAATCGCGGGCGACAGCTAGTAACTAAATAATACTTAGGTAAACTGTTTCACGTGTGTGAGTGAAAAACGCAGAGAAGCGCTGCAGCTTGGTTCACGGACGTTGGTACTTTATATATACCAATGACACATTGTCAAAAAAACTGATGAACTAAATTTACAATCGACCTTCAGAATTACGAACGAATTTATTCAATAAAATCTAAAAAGAAACCAGGGGTAAAAGAAAAAAAAACGGACATACAGTCGGACACTGTTTATTTACGATTCCAATGAGTCATACGACGGGATCATCATCGACTATAGCTTGTAATACAATTTGCAATGGATTCCGTCTATAATTATAAAGAACGGGATAGGACATGGCAAAGGGGGGTACGGGGCAGTGAGGGAGGGGGTCAGCTCGGGCGTCGTTCGACCACGTGGTATAAATAGTAGCACACGTACACACATACAGTACGTTATGTTGGCGCGCCCGCACGCTCGGCTCGCGCCAAATTGGGAAGCGGCAACGGCCGATAGATGCTGGGTACAATGAACATCAATCATGTATTTGCATTGGTTGAACTGACGAAACTGTACCCTAATTGCAATCGAGATTTTACTACGTTTAAGGAGGTTCGTAAAAGTATTTAGAGTCATGGTCTTTATGTTATTAGCTTCCAAGTTTTTAATGTCTTTAAATTGAGTATACTAAAATTATCTTATATTATAAACGCGAATGTTTGGATGGATTGTCTGTTAGATGGTAACGACGGAACGGCTCCATAGATCTCGCTGAAATTTAGCATAGATGTAGAACATAGTCTGAAGAACACATAGGTTACTAATTAAGTTTTTTTTGGTTTAAAAACTTAATGGTCTTTAAAATTGTCTTCAGACTTGTTTATATGTCTGTTAAGACTTAAGTAACTTCATAAGAAATTCATTTTTTTATACCATAAGGCAGTTTGTTAGGCCGGTAAGTTAACTTTAACGAGGTCGATCTTACAGCTGGTGTTTATTTATAAACTTTAATGATCACATGGCACTTAAATGACATCAACTAAAATGCAGCAAAAATAAATATATGTACGCATTCCCCTCATCATCATGAAAGACATTTTATCTAGTCGAGTAATTAGAGGTTGGTGCTGCTAATTCATTATGGCCACTCGAGACTATAAATGTTTTAAGTAGTTTCATAAAATCTTCATGACTTTCAACTATGTAACTTTTATGTGTGTTGTGGGACGACCCTTATAAATTATTCCATAGTTTAGATGTTAAATTTAGCTAAGTTTCATTTACTAACACTCTAACTGCCAACATTCAACTGCAGCTGCATTTAAGATACTAGTCACGATCTAAATAAAACAATATTAAACGCAAAACCTCGTCTAGTCCGCTAACAAGGAAATCAATTTACATGTCTGTGATGTTGTGTTTGTTTTGACTAAAATATTAGTACTCAAACCAAACTATGACTGCTTCTACGACTTTATAGACAAACAATTTCATTTATTTGCATAAAAGATGACTTAATGATGAAGGACTA